ATCCAGGCCTTTGGCCATGGAATGCGAATGCTGCCTGTGGAGGAGAGACCACGTCGTCGTCCTTCTCGTTTGACGTCCAGTAATGCCAATGGCTTGTTGAAATTCATTCATCAATGTAATCGATCAGACATGGACGACGGGCCTTGACATGCCACATAACATGCTCTTCGTATGTAAATGGAGCCTGGGAGAGAGATATGTAGCTGCAGCTCCATACCCCACAATGCAACATAAAATTTAATCAATTTATTGGAAACGAGCTATTGTCTTTGGTCTTTTGCCTTTTGCATTTCCAGCTTGCTTTTGACTCGGCTTTGACTCGACTCGATTCGACTTGGGGCTTATCCGCAGCTTTGCATCTACACTTTCTCCTCTCTCAGGTTGATATGCTATTTTCTTGGCACGAATGCAGGCAAAAGGCCAAGATAAATCTCCCGGATTCGTGTGGGGAGTTGCGTTTTTCTGGGGCGGAACCACCGCACCCACGTTCACCTAGTTGACTGAGTTGTGGCCAAAGTTTGGCATTAGATTATGCCTTTTCCATTTTCTGGATCTCAGCCAGAGGAGAAAATCTTGAAAATAATTTACTGGAGTTTTTTACAGTCAGTACAAACAAAGTAAAATCATCAGAATTTTATTAACATTTTTATTTCAATTTTCTCAAATTATTAATATAACTGCGAATCATTTCAGAAAACTAAGTATGGTGTGTGGTAGATTTAACACAAAAATTTTATATTTAAAAACATCAATGAAATGCTAGTAGATTATGCACTTATTTTTAATGCAGCTTTCGATTCATTTGTATTTCAAGGAACAGAAAACTTTTCTAAAACGTATTTTTACTGTTGATTCTTTTTATAAACAAGTTGGCTTTCTCGAAGTTTGGGCTCATGTCAAAGCAGTAAGTCTACATTCTTTACTTGTCACACGATCATTGCCCTCCACAATACTACAGAACGAAGAAATTAGCTAAATAAGCTATTACAATGAAGAAAAGAAAAAGTGCTCCGAAGGTCAAGTCCGTTGCAGAGCCGATTCTGAGATTTCCACTGGTGCCCGAAAGTGAAGTGTTGGATCGGGAGGCCAAGTATATGAGCCGCCTAAATGATTTTTCCGTTAGTGCGGAATTAGTCAAGCGTAAGTAATAAAGTTCCCAATTAAAAATCCAGTAATCAAAATGGTATCGATGCAGGTGCTCATACCGACTTCTACGAACAGGAGGTTGAGCGAATGTTCAGGGAGCATTGGGAACATCATCTGCGTTGCGATGGTCTTCCACGTCCCTATCTTCCCGTCGAAGTACGCGAGTTTATCTCCAAAATGCGGTTCTACGATGAATTTGAGACTAATAACGCAATAGACTGGGCTTTGTCGGTGGACGAACGATCTATATTGAACCAGAATATCTTCCGTGTGGACAAAACGAGACAAACGATGAAGCTTAACAAGGATAATCCGGGTGAACACTACGACACAAATGTCCAGATGTGTCTGGACACATTGACCGAGATGGATGTTATGCTGGACAACGAGGCTGAAATGGTGCGAATGTCTGCAAAAAGACAGGCGGATGTCATGGAAGTCTGTTTATCTAGGATGTAGGCAAAAATTTGATTAGTAATCGCGTTTTCTATAGGTTTACACTGAAGTCCAGCTGGAAATCGATGATATCTTCGATCGTCTTACCTATCGAATATTGAAAACGCAAGATGCCTATATGGAGTTAGTATAGATTGATATATATCTCATATTAAGGATCAGCTTACCTATATTTTTATAGCTCTGAAGATGGAAGAGTTGCAAAGTGGAGCTACGAATGTAAGCCCTGGAAATTGGATTTGTGGGGTCTGCGAAATGTCCCCATAATCTTTGAGATGTTGGAGTAAGTTAACCAGACAAATGATGCTACCTAAAGGAAAACATTAACTGAATACTTCTTAGATTACCAGTAATGTTGGCCGAGCTGATAGCCACGGGTGTCGAGGTCCAGATACCGAAAAGTGTCCTAAAAGATTGCATAACTATTCGCAGTTTACACACTGATTTCGATAACATCTCGCAGAATGCCAAGAGCTTTGAGACATCGGTTTCCGCATCAGTCAATTATCCCACCGCTGGCATAGTAGATATAGAGGAATCGGTGATTAACGAATGGGTCATGCAGCAAGAAATTCAGGAGGAGACCCTGAATCTGATGTTAAACAGGCGGAGGGAGTACGAGGAAATGATGGAGCTCATTGCCGAGAGAACGGAGGCAGCTGCCAAGGCGGAAAAGAATTCTGATCCCGATAAAACAGTCAAAATTGTAATACCAAAGGCTCCGAAAGAGCCTCCACCGGTTCCACCCGGCATGTTCCCCGATATCTACACCGATTTTCTCAGAATGGAGGACAGCCAGTATTCAGGCTATCTCGATGAGGTATATCATCCAAGGCATCTGGACATGCAGCCATTTGAGGTGGGTTAACGATTACCAGAACTATAGTACCGCGAATTCTTCAGTACTGGTAGCACTAAAATATTTGTAGTTTAACTAAGAACCACGATTTTAATTTAATTCAGACTTTAAAACCACGGTTAAAACTATTCCACTCAACGTTTATAGTCAAATTTATAATTTTAACAATTTCCGTTGATAATGCGTAGGCTATATCATAAGTATTATATCACTAAGGATACCTGACTATCATAACTCCCTCAGATAAATCTTCGGGAGCGAATCATGTTAGGTGGCATCTATGCGATCATGTTCGTGCGACGACCTGAGCAAACGAAATTTGAGAAGTTCAACATTGTTTTGCACGAGGATGGACGGGTTCTTCACACCATGCCCGAAATGAAGGCCGAAATAGAGGGTGAACAGTTACGGAATTTGGATATCGCCAGAAAGACTAGGGAGACCTACCGTGGTACCAAGATTAAGTTGGAGGATGACGAGTTGCCATATTTTATCGTAACCCTGCAGTTGCCCAAGGATCTTTGCAAGTGGAGTGAACCCGTACTTTGTCATTTCTTGACGGAACAAGAGATCATTTCGACTGATTCAAAACGCGAATCCGTCTGGTTACCGACTATGCAAAGTACAATAAGGCATTCGGAATATGTTGATAGGATGGATGGCACCCTCAATCTTGGTAGTCGAATTTCTGTGGATTCTACAAACATATTTCGACCCACACTTCGTTCGTTTCTCAGACAAAGTAAAGTGGACGTGGTTCCGATATACGAAGTTCCTTTGGAGGACTTCAAGTTGCAAAAAAAGTTGAATCACTTAGAGACGAGAAACTTGGAGAGATATTGCGTACCCCGTATTATCTCGTCATTTAAGTTTCCTGCAGATTTTGGCGACGACAAGCGAGAAGGTGGCAGGATGGGCATGAAAGGTTTGGTCAAGCGTCAGGAAGTCGAGGAAGTCGTTACTCAGGTCAAGAAACTGGATTTTAATTTTGATGCCCAGGCGATTAACCCGGAGCGAATGTTTCCTCATTTTCCCACGGTTGATCCTATGCAATACCCCACGCTTTTTGATGATCCGGAACCACGACCTCTTAATGTCACTACTGCGCTGGGACTTTTAAGAACCTTTGACGATATCAAAACGAAATATAAGGAAAAGCCCGTTGAGCTATTAGGTCAGCCGGATGAGCAGGATAAGAAATCAAAGCAAAAGAAATTAGCCTTAAAGGAGGATGAAGAGGTGCAAGATGGAGGAAAACGAAAGCTGTCCAAGGTTAATGAAAAAATACGCTTAGGCTCAAAGCTGGAAAAGCAGGAACGGGCTAGTCTCTCCTCGGATAAATCAAAAACAGGAACTGACACGATGATTGAACAGAACGTGACCCATTGGACCACAAAGTATGTTAAAGACGTCACACTAGATAAAGAAACTAGCAGAATAACTTTCAAGACGGATCGTCTGGGATATTTGGGTTTGGCCTTCAAGCGGTACGAACATTTTCCCTTTCGTGAATGGTCATTGCAGCCAAATGAGGAAAAGTTAGTATTTGAAAATACAAGGACATCCAATGTTAACTGTTTTCCATTTACAGTCCCGATGAGATCATCCTTAGCGTGGATACATATCATGTCCGTATATTTTTCTATATCACGTCCAAGGGAGTTCGGGGCTATGTGACCGATCTGGGTAAGGGTTATACGGCCAAGCCAGTTAAATATTTGGAGATTGTGGACCCGATATCAGACTTTCGTCAAATGCGCCAGGTAAGATTAAAATGAGATGGTTCTTCTTTAACCGGTATGTTTCCTCAGATGTTTGTCAGCAAGAACATTAATATATTTGCCGAGAACGATGCCAGTTTCTATATCGAAAACGGCTACTTTTCCATGAAGCACGTGGCACTTGAGCTACACACCTATAACATCATGGCACTACATTGCAAATTGATGAAGTTCTATCGATCAAGCTGGAATCGACTGGCCTCACGTCGAGATATCATCTTGGGCATGAAGATCGCCAAGGATAACTCGGATTATTCCGAGGTTACAATGCGAATTACTCCCGAAAAGACCACTTTCGTTCAGATTTCAGAAAATTGTTCGGACAAAGTGAACGTGATCGTGCTTACATATAATGAGACTTGGCGGAACATTAGCGTAAGTAGTAAAATGTATCCGAAAAATCCAGATAGTATTTAAATTGCTGCATTGCAGAACTTCACGGATCTACATCAGGCCATAAACTCGATGGTCCCCAATGCCACGGAAGTGCGCAATAAGGATTCCATTCTTCTACATTATGTAATGCGAATGCTAAAAGAGATAAGGCTATTAAGCTTTTCGTAGAATTTCTCTATATTTTGTAAATCCATACTTGCTAATCTTCAATACAATAAGAACTCCTTAAAGAGCTTGGCAAATGCAGGTGTCTCACTTCTTAGGTTAATTTTGGGCAGTATTCTTATCTTAGGATATAATTTAAAAAAACTAACTTTATTACCTACACAATCCTGGTTTCATCTTTCAGACGTATACAAATACTCAACAATAAAACAACAAAAAAAACACAAACATAAACAAAAAATAAAACAAAATACAAAATACAAAAACTATTTAGGAGGATAATAACACCGGTTTTTGGAAAATGGTTAAGATGGTTAAAGGTGCTGCTTCTACTAAGGATGCAGTGAGTCTGATAAGCGAATCGGAAATATTGGAAAGGCAAAAAAATTACACTATTCGACTGCACGATATTGGTGTCGCCTGTTCGACATTCAAGAGTAACATGGATCAACTACTTTTAATGATGGTTACGGTTCTAATAGGTTTACTATTCATAGATTCACTCGCTCATTTTCGAGATCTGGAGGAAGAACGGACGAATCAAGACCGTTGGGATCAGTTTACCCGGTGTGATGGCCTGCCAAAGGTCCGATCTCCAGTCGAGATCAGAACATTTTTGGCCAAGATTCGTCACTTTGAAGAGATCGAAACTAACAACTCCATTGACTGGACTCTGGGAGTGGACGAGCGTAGTATTCTGACACAGAATATTTACCACAAGGACCTAACACGAGCAACATTGCAAAAAACGTCTTGCGATAATCCTGGTTCTTATTTTGAGACCAACTTAAAGAATTGCATAGAAATATTGCGACAGGTGGATGCTTTGATGGACAACGAGGTGGAAATGGAGCGCATGAGTTTGAAAGTACAGCTTGATCTTATGGAGGTTAGTGGCATCTGAACAAAAGAGTGGCTAATCCAAAGAACTGCTTATAGGTTTACAAAGACGTCCAACGGGAGATGGAAAGCCTCTTCGACCGTCTTACATATCGGCTATTGCGAATGCAAAAGGTCTACATGGAGTTAGTGTTTTTTCTTTATTACTGAAGTGTTTTTTAATATGCTAATGATTTTACCTTAGATCTGCTAATGGAATAGTGGCTAGGTGGAGCCACTCATGTGATTCATGGCGCATGGACCTTTGGGGTCTTTACAATGTTCCCATAATCTTTAAGCAACTGGAGTAAGCTTCCGGGCATAGCTTTAAGGAGATTGGGTATTACCACCTATCTGTCTTACAGTGTTCCATTGATGTTGGCCGACTTTAAGGCCACGCAAGTCACGGTCCAGTTACCATTGAGTGTCCTGTGGGATTGCGTCACCCTACGCTGTGTCCACACCAGTTTTGACCATCGTTCGGAGGACGCGAAGAGCTACGAAACACCTACGGTCGACGCCAGTGTTGTTCCCATTTCTGGAATAACTGAAATGGAAGAGTCGGTGGTTGGTGAGTGGTTGATGCAGCATGACATACAGGAGGAGACTTTGGAAAGCATGAACCAAAAACGAGAGGAGTACGAAGAACTAATGCAGCTTATTGCCGAGCGGACCGAACAGGCTGCCAAGGAGGCGAAGTTTGGTAAAGCCGCCGATGGTAGTAAGCGCCCGAAGATAGTCATCCCGAAGACCCCGAAGATGGTGCCGCTCGTACCGCAAGGAATGTTTCCCGAAATCTATAACGAGTTTCTTCAACGCGAGGATAATCAATACAAGAAGTTTCTGGATAGTTATTACCATCCAAAACTTCTACGCCTGTCGTCCGAGGAGGTAAGTACTACACAGGGTAGTAGTTAGATATAATTATATATAAGTAATTGTGGGGGTTAATATAATACTTGAGTAGATTGTGGAAAGAGGGCCCCTGCTTAAATAAATATTAAACCATCCTTAGATAAATCTTAGGGAGTGTATTATCATTGGCGGACTCTATAACATTACATTTGTTCGGCGACCTGACCAAACGCAATACGAGAAGTTTAATATTATTTTGCACGAGGATGGACGCGTTCTGCATATTATAGCTGATGTCGTGGCTCGAGTTGAAGGCAACTTTCGAAGCACCCATGTTTCCGATTTCACCAGAATGACCTTTGCTAGCAGCCAGTTGAGGCTAGACGATAATGAGCTGCCATTCTTCGTTGTTACCGTGAAGTTGCCCCCAGATCTCTGCAGGTGGGGCAAACCCGAGGTGTGCCATTATTTGAGAGAGGTGGAGGCACCTCCACGGACACCGGATAGGAGTACCCTCGTTACGCTCAATGTTGTTGAACCCCAACGGATATCATCGCAATTAGTCCAAAGAGAAGACAGCGCCATCCGATCAACATTTGGCAATCAGTTTTATCCCACTCTCAGATCAATCCTAAGGCAAAGTGTTACCTATGCACATATCCTTGAAAAAGGGTCTTCTATCCAGGATTTTCATTTGAACAAGGCTTTAAATAAGATTGAAATTATGAAGTTAAAAAACATATGCCTGCCCCGCATAATTTCCTCATTTAAGCTCCCAAGTGAATTTACTGAAGACAATCTAACGTTAGAAGCCCAGAAGTCAAGGCCGAATCGCTTATTGAAAAGGACTGAAACCGATTTGGCTGTGGAGACTAAACTTGCACCACCGGAAGACTTTGATTATGCATCGCAACAACGCCCCGAAAGGGTGTTTCCCATTTTTGAAAAGACAGTTCCTGTAGCATTTATTCCTGCTGGTAATTCGACCACAACCGATTCTACTGATACAACAACAGCCTGTGGATTATTGTCCACACTGGAGACCATCAAAGGAAAGTACTTGCGCAAGCCATTACAACTGTTAGAACAAATCGAAGTCGTACCCAAGAAGGCCGAGAAAAGAATGGAGGTAAAAAATGTAGAGGTGGTAAAAAGTTCTTCAAGTCTTAGGGATAAAGTGTCTGCTGCGAATGTAAGTGATAGAAGGAGTTTTACAGATGCAAGTGAGAGAAAGAGTGCTATAGAAGGTAATCTTGGGTTCTAAAACAGTGAATCAGATTAAAATATTAAACATTTATTCTCAGACTTAGCCAGAGGTCCAGAGCAAAAAGCAACCAGAAGAAGTGGTTCTGTCAACAGGCGGCGATCGGCGCGAAAGTCTGGCAAGGTAGAAGACCCTTTCAAGTTTCGCTATGAAGAAAGGGAACCAGGAGTATTGCTTGATCACTGGACCAAAGAGCACATTATCGAATCGACGATTGATCACAAGACTAACACACTCACCTTCAGGACGACCCGTTTGGGAATTTTTGGACTGGCCTTCAAACGATACGAACACTTTCCCTTCCGTGATTGGTGTCTGCAGCCAAATGAGAACAAGTAAGTGGGAGCTAATATCCTCGGAGATCCTTTGCTAACCTGAATCCCAACTTATGCAGTCCAGATGAGATCATTCTCAGCTTGGACACATTCCATGCGCGAATGTTTTTCTACATCACATCCCAGGGGGTACGTGGCTATGTGACTGATCTGACCAAGGGATATACGGCTAAGCCAGTTAAGTACCTGGAGATTGTGGAGCCAATCTCGGACTTTCGCGTATTGCGTAAGGTAGGATTATGTTAAGGATGTTACCAAGATCAACTTTCGAACTTCCTTTTCAGTTACTTGTGGAAAAGAACTTCAACATTTTCGCAGAGAACGATGCCAGCTTTTACATCACAAATGGTTACTTCTCCATCAAGCATGTGGCCACTGAGCTTCACACCTACAATACCATGGCATTGCAATGCAAATTGATGAAATTCTATCGATCCAGCTGGAATCGACTGGCCACACGGCGCGACGTCATTATGGACATGAAGATAGCGAAAGACAACTCGGACTTCTCAGAGGTCACAATGCGTATAACACCCGAGAAGACAACATTTGTCAAAATCTCCGAAATGTGTTCCGATGATATAAACGTGGTCAAGCTTCGTTACGAGGAAACTTGGCGAAACGTCAATGTGAGTAAATATTATCTATATTTTTTAATAATGTAATACAATCCCATGCAAATCGCAGAACTATAATGATTTCGGTCAGGCCATTCAATCGTTGAATCCCCATTCCCAGGAGGGATCTAATAAAGAAGCTATGCTATTCGTCTACATTAAAAGGCTCCTGAATGAGATTCGTCCCTTAAGTTACTCCTAGGATCTTCGGCACTTCTGTATAAATTTTACAATAATTCGTATTCTCGAACTAAAGTGATTTTTACAAAATGACATTGCTGTCAATTACATTTACAAACTGACACTAGACACACACAAAAATACACAAAAAAAAAAACAAAAAAAGAAAAAAATGGTAAAAAGAAAAAGCAAGGTCCAGGCATCCCAAAAGCCCACCGTAGAACTCCTTTCGGAGGACGAGTGGATGGCCCGGAGAAATACGTATATGCAGCGTTTAGCGGACCTTAGGACAAGTGTTGCCTTTATAGATGGTAAATTATATTCCTTTTTTCTGAAGAAGATATAGTTTAAAAAAACCTTTCCCCAAGATGCCATCGATGAGCACAATGAACTGCAGAAACAGCAGTTAAAGGATGAAAAGTGGAACAGTTACTTGGCCTGTGACGGTCTACCAAGTCCCAAAAGTCCTGCCGAAATTCGAAAGTTTATCGCCCAGCTGAACTTTTTGGAAAAAGAGTCCTGCGCTAATGATATCAGCTGGCTACTTCCGGTGGACGAGAGGAGTTTACTTTCGCAAGCTCCAGACCGAAAGGACATGACCCGGAGGAACTTACAAAAAAGTAGGCCAAATATCGGTCAGTTCTTTGATGATACTGTGCAGCGAGTCCTGGCAACCATCACACGTGTGGAAAGAGTACTACGCAACGATAATGAGCTCCTTCGTTTACCAACTTTTCAAATCCTTGAACTGGATAAGGTAATAGCTTTTATATAGAGCTGAGATAAAGAGCTATAAACGTTGTTCCTCTAGATACCCTCAGAACTACATGCGGATATAAATAGTTTTTTCGATAAGCTCACATACCGCGTAATCTGTTCGCCCGATGCCTATATGACGTAAGGTCTTGTGAGTTTGCCAAAGGACTTACCTTTCTAACTTTTTTTATTTCCTAGAAACAAGGGTAGTATCTTGACGTCTTATTGCTATAACTCCAAAAACTTTGATCTCCAAATATGGGGACTGCAGGACGTACCCATTCGTTTCAACTACATGAAGTAAATAGTAGACTTAACTGCAATTTTGTGAAGTTACCAATCTTTATTTTAAGACTACCTATTATGTGCTCTGATCTCAACTGCGTTGGAGTGACTCTTCAGATGCCACTTAGTGTTCTTTGCGACAATTTAACCCTCCGGTGTGTACACACTTTTTTTGACCCGTACTCCCCACTGGCCAAGAGCTATGAGCTAGCCGTTAATAATTATATGAGCCCAAATTGTGGACTTGTGGACATCGGGGACAGTGTGATGACCGAATGGATGACCCAAATAGATATTCAGGAGGACATTATGACGAAAATGAACACGGAGATGCAGTTATACAACGATACAATTGCGTAAATACAGTTTTGACTTGGGTTAAGAACCTTTTGCGGTAATATATTAACCTTTTTTAAAGCGCAATCGCAGCTGCCGAAGCTAAACAGAAAAAAAATAGCGAAAGTAATGAAACAAGAAGGAAATCCATCCCAAAGACTCCTAAAATGCCGCAAGAACTACCAGTAGGCATGTTTCCAGACCCCTACAAGATATTCCTAGAACACGACAAGCGAGATTGCATCGACTTCTTTCAACGAAATTTCCATCCTAACCAACTAAACTTGTTGCCGTACGAGGTAATGCAGCGAAATATGTAAAAGTATCTCAAAAACAATGTTTTTATGTTTTTTGCCACTGTATTAATTAATATACCTTTGTTTATTAATACAATCTAATCTCTAAGGTTAACCTGCGCCGTTTTATCATCATGGGCGGCGTTATATCGCTCGTCTTTGTGGGAAAGGCCAAACATACCGCCTTTGAAAAGTTCAATATAACGCTTCACGAAGATGGACGTGTTTTGCGTAAGCAAGTGGATGTTTTGGAGGGCATGAATGAGGAATCCATACGTCGGTCTACTAAACCTAGCATTCTGCAAAGACCGAGTCGTATGGAAATGAGGCGAGATCCCGATCTGGAGGAAGCTTCTGAATTCCAGTTGCACTTGGAGCCGGATGAGCTTCCGTTTTACTTTCTCACATTCAAGGTGCCCAACCATTTGTGCTTATGGGGCGAACCCATGGTTTGTCAGTTTGTTGAGGACGAAATCGAAAAACTGCTGGAAGCAGAGATGGAGAGTGTGGCGGAAAAGTCTGATAAAAAGAAAAAACATTTTCGAAAGCCTTCACGAAAACCTTCCGATAACGTGCAGAACGCGCGTACACCCTCAAAGGGTATAACTGCAAAGGAAGAAAATCCGAATGAAAGTAGTAAACCGAATTACCATAGGCCAACAAGAGAAAGTTCTATAAACATTTATAGACCCTCGGCATTGGCAATTGTGCGACAGGGAAGTTCGGAACCGGAACGTGTAAATCATGGTCCACTGAAAAACTTTCAGCTACTGGAGGTGCCACTATCAAGACGAAAGATTCGTCTACTTCAGGACCATTGCCTAACCCGAATCATATCCTCGTTTAAGTTCCCGCAGGAGTTTAAAGATGGTGATCTCGAAGAAAAAGCCATCAAAAACACAACAGGCCCGAGTCTTTACAGACGGCGAGAAGCCAATTCTGTTGAATATGCGCGGACTGAGGATTACTTCTTCAACTACGAGGATCAGTCCAATCCCGAGCGAGTGTATCCAAAGTTTCCTGTGCTGAAGGATCTACAGCTGGAGCTTGGCAGGGAGCATGCAACCAAAAAGGATACTTCGATGTATGGTCTTGTACTGACACTGGACGACATCAAGGAGAAATACATGGATGCCCCCAAAAAGATAACTGATCAACTGGTCACTCAAGCCGTCAGAATGAGCAGACGCACTCTTCAGGAGCCACTTAATTCGAGTCGATTTCGACGACAAAGTTCCTTCGTGAGACGGTCTTTTAGACAGTTAGGATTGGAAGCTAGCACCGTGAGCGTGGGTGAGTTGCGATCGGCAGAAATGGAGTACGAACTCAGCGAAGCCAGTGAGTCCAGCGAACCCATTCGAAAGTCTAGAAAAGAAAGTCGTTTACCATCGGAAAGTGTTTCTCGGAATTATGAAGTCATAAAGGTCTTCCACTGGACCACCAAGTTTATCCTGGAATCAAAGTTTGATAGAGAGAGTAAGGTCCTTACTATCAAGACAGATCGCTTGGGGAACTTTGGATTCGCCTTCCAGCGATACACGCACTTTCCCTTTAGTCACTGGGAACTGGAGAAGAACGAGGAAAAGTAATATATTGTACTTACTGAAACCTTATTTAACAATGATTAATTTACCTTTTGCAGTCCCGATGAGATTATCTTTACCTTGGATACCCACCATGTGCGTGTAGTCTTCTTTATCACCAGGGATGGCATTCGGTGTCATGCGATTGATATACCCAAGGAGTACATTGCCAGGCCCTACAAATATATAGATATTGAGAAACCAATCTCAGATTTCGTCGAGCTTCGCAAGGTTCATGTCTAAAGCTTCTATGATATTTCCATAGTTTACTATACCCCCATTACAGCGCCTCCAGGATATGAACCTGAATGTGTTTGCGGAGCTGGACGCTTGTTTCTACATCAATCAGGGCTATTTTTCGCAGAAGCATCTGGCAGCCGAGTTGCATATCTACGATGCCATCGCTGTGCATATTAAGCTGATGAAGTTCAGCCGTAGTCAGTGGAACCGCCTGGCCACGGACAGGGATCTGTTGCTCTGTCTAAGGAATACCAAGGATGTGCACGATGGAGCGGAGGTAACGGTCCGGGTAACGCCCGAAATCTCGACCTTCGTAGAGGTTTCGGAGCTCTGCACGGAAGATCTGAGTGCGATAAAACTGAATTACAAGAATACCTGGCGAAATATAGGGGTATGTATTATAAAAGGGCTAAGACAATTAAAATATTTTAAAATAATCAATACTATCCTTATCTTTTTAGACCTACTCGGATCTTCATCAGGTGATCAACTCCATGTACTCTTATGCCACGGATGTGCGTAATCGCGATGCCAACCAGATGTACTATCTTCGCCAGCTTCTTCAGGAGATCCGACCCCTGAGCTTTTCCTAGATCCGCGAACGCTGCACAACTAACAACTGCCAAACAAAAACAGATCACAGCGTACACTTTCAAATTAACAGCAATTAAAAGCAATTGCCTTACAACAAAGTCTTGAATCATTTCCATTATTTTGGTTTAAGTGGGTTCTCCACACTTTAATACTGGAGTGGGTTAGAAATAAACTTTGTTTTTTGTAATCTTCTTTCCGCGAATGAAATGCAACGCCTGCTGGCTTGCTGCTTGCTGGCCACCACTCTATCCAGGATTGATGTCCTTGCCCAGACCCTGAACCTAAGCCGAGCCATCGATGTGAAGAAGTTGGCCAAAATAGTAGTGCCTCCGAAATTTGAAACTCGTGTTGTTGGCGGTCGTGTCACTACAAATGAGAAGCTGGGCGGCTATCTAATTGCACTGCGCTACGACAAGGAGTTCATTTGTGGTGGCACACTGCTTCACGAACTCATCGTCCTGACGGCTGCCCATTGCTTTTCGGGTCGAGAGAAGATCAAGGAATGGGTGGCAGTTGGCGCCACCTCCAAGCTAAGTGATAAAGGTATTCAACGCAAAGTTAAGGAAGTCATCAAGTCTGCTCAGTTTAGCGAAGATGACATGAACATGGATGTGGCCGTAGTGCGGCTGAAAAGCCCCATGAAGGGCAAAAAAATTGGAAAACTATCACTGTGCTCCACTTACCTGAAACCGGGTCTGGAACTAGTGGTTTCTGGCTGGGGAATGACCGATCCCAATGGTCTTCGCCCGCAGAACCTATTGCGCACAATTACAGTGCCAATTTTAGATAAGAGGCTTTGTCGATCTTCCTATTGGCCAGCGGGTGAGTGGGATGCAACTTATAAGTATGGTTATGGGTCTCATTCTGAAAGACATTCGAATTACGAAAAAATCAAATATAAAAATGGGTAACACATTTGAACTTTTTTTAAAAGATGGATTTAAATTTAGAATATTAGGAAATTTCACTACGAACTCATAAAGGTATCAACCTTTAAAATCGGGATAGAGTTACCCAAGTTATGAAATTTATAAGAACGGTTTTTGGCATCCATTCTGACACCTATTGGAATTGCGGAAAAATCGAACATAGAAATGGGTAAAGAATTTGACCCTCTTTTAAAATAAAGATTTCAATTTAGAATATTAGGGAATTCAACCACGAACTCATAGAGGTATCAAACTTCAAAATCGAAATAAAATTACTAAAGTTATGGAATCTAGAAGTGCAGTTTTGGGGTCCCATTCTGAAAACCATTGGAGTTACGGAAAAATCGAACATGAAAACGGGGTAAAATTTAGACCCTCTTTCAAGGGGAATATTTAAACGTGGAATGTTAGAGAATTCAACCACAAACTCAAAGAGGTATCAAACTTCAAAATCGGAATAAAATTACTAAAGTTATGGAATCTAGAAGTGCAGTTTTGGGGTCCCATTCTGAAAACCATTGGAGTTACGGAAAAATCGAACATGAAAATGGGGTAAAATTTAGACCCTCTTTCAAAAGGAATATTTAAATGTGGAATGTTAGAGAATTCAACCACAAACTCAAAGAGGTATCAAACTTCAAAATCGGAATAAAATTACTAAAGTTATGGAATCTAGAAGTGCAGTTTTGGGGTACCGTTCTGAAAGCCATTAAAGTTACGGAAAAATCGAACATGAAAATGGGGTAAAATTTAGACCCTCTTTCAAGGGGAATATTTAAATGTGGAATGTTAGAGAATTCAACCACAAACTCAAAGAGGTATCAAACTTCAATATCGGAATAAAATTACTAAAGTTATGGAATCTAGAAGTGCAGTTTTGGGGTACCATTCTGAAAGCCATACGGAAAAATCGAACATGAAAATGGGGTAAAATTTAGACCCTCTTTCGAAAGGAATATTTAAATGTGGAATGTTAGAGAATTCAACCACAAACTCATAGAGGTATCAAACTTTAAAATCGGAACAAAATTACTAAAGTTATGGAATCTAGAAGTGCAGTTTTGGGGTACCGTTCTGAAAGCCATTAAAGTTACGGAAAAATCGAACATGAAAATGGGGTAAAATTTAGACCCTCTTTCAAGGGGAATATTTAAATGTGGAATGTTAGAGAATTCAACCACAAACTCAAAGAGGTATCAAACTTCAAATTCGGAGTAAAATTACTGAAGTTATGGAATCTAGAAGTGCAGTTTTGGGGTCCCATTCTGAAAACCATTGGAGTTACGGAAAAATCGAACATGAAAATGGGTTAAAATTTAGACCCTCTTTCAAGGGGAATATTTAAATGTGGAATGTTAGAGAATTCAACCACAAACTCAAAGAGGTATCAAACTTCAAAATCGGAATAAAATTACTAAAGTTATGGAATCTAGAAGTGCAGTTTTGGGGTACCATTCTGAAAGCCATTGGAGTTACGGAAAAATCGAACATGAAAATGGGGTAAAATTTAGACCCTCCTTCAAAAGGAATATTTAAATGTGGAATGTTAGAGAATTCAACCACAAGCTCATAGAGGTATCAAACTTTAAAATCGGAATAAAATTACTAAAGTTATGGAATCTAGAAGTGCAGTTTTCGGGTACCGTTCTGAAAGCCATTAAAGTTACGGAAAAATCGAACATGAAAATGGGTTAAAATTTAGACCCTCTTTCAAGGGGAATATTTAAATGTGGAATGTTAGAGAATTCAACCACAAACTCAAAGAGGTATCAAACTTCAAAATCGGAATAAAACTACTAAAGTTATGGAATCTAGAAGTGCAGATTAGGGGTACCGTTCTAAAAGCCATTAAAGTTACGGAAAAATCGAACATGAAAATGGGGTAAAATTTAGACCCTCTTTCAAGGGGAATATTTAAATGTGGAATGTTAGAGAATTCAACCACAAACTCAAAGGGGGATCAAACTTCAAAATCGGAATCGTATTATAGGGTTATATATTTCATAATATAAGTACGGTTTTTGGCTCCTATTTTAAAACCCATTGAAATTACGAAAAAATCGAACATGAAAATGGGCTAAAGATTTGACCTTCTTTTAAAATAAAGATGTTAGGAAATTCAACTACTAACTCATAGAGGTATCAAACTTTTAAATCGGTATTGAATTACTCTAGTTTTAAAATTTATAAGTACGGTTTTTTGCTCCCATTCTGAAAGTCATTGGAATTACGCAAAAGTTAAAAAAAAATGTTTAAAAAATACAGATTTTAATGCAGAATATTAAAGAATTCTACAACAAGCTCATCCTTTTAATAAAATAAAATTATTCTTTGTGCAGTTAATATAACAGACAGCATGTTTTGCGCCGGAGTGCTGGGGAAGAAGGATGCCTGCACATTTGACTCCGGCGGTCCGCTGGTTTACAAGAAGCAAATCTGTGGGATCGTGTCCTTTGGAATCGGGTGTGCCAGCAGACGTTATTCCGGCGTCTACACGGATGTCATGTACGTAAAGCCCTTTATCGAGAAGAGCATTAAGGTGTTGTTGGCGAAAAGTTGAATAAATTGTACAAACTATGGAATGTGTCATTTGATTATGTCATAAATAACTACCATTAGAGTCGCGTTAGTGGATTTCTTTACGCTTAAATATTGGCTTGTGCATAAAATCATTTTCGCAAGTATCATTCCGATCCGTTCGCTCTTTGCAATGCGAAGTCTTCTGGGATGCATCGTGCTGATTGCCGCTCTGGTTTTGGACCACGTTCATGGCCAGGACATCGCCAATCACACTATTGATGTGGAAAAGGTGGCCAAATTGGTCCTTCCCAATAATCATGACACTCGCGTTATCGGCGGCCAAGTTACCACAAACTGGAAGTTGGGTGGATACCTAATGGCATTAGTATATGCCGGAGATTTTGTCTGCGGTGGCACTCTTATCCATGACCTCATCGTTCTTACGGCGGCCCACTGCTTTTTGGGCCGGATGAAGGTTTCGGATTGGACTGTGGTTGCCGGTATATCGAAGCTCGATCAAAAAGGTGTACGTCGCAAAGTAAAGGACTTTATCTTGTCTGAAAAGTTTAAAGAGGAAGATATGAATATGGATGTGGCCGTGATGCTTCTGAAAAGTTCTTTGAGAGTCAAGGGTATTGGAAAACTATCGTTATGCTCGGTAAACCTTAACCCAGGTCTTGAATTAACTGTTTCCGGATGGGGTATGACCGTTGCCAGAGGAAGTGGGCCGCAGACATTACTACGAACGGTCACCGTGCCAATTATTCACAAGAGTAACTGTCGTGCCGCCTATCAGCCAATGGGTAAGTTATTTTGCATGGACGCAAAGGTTTTAAGCTTATAATACAGAAGAACTATATTAATTTTATATCGTTATTCATGGTGCAGCTAAAATAACAGACAGTATGATATGCGCCTCAGTATTGGGAAAAAAAGATGCCTGCACCTACGACTCCGGAGGTCCATTGGTTTACAAAAAGCAAGTTTGCGGCATTGTGTCCTTTGGAATTGGATGTGCTAGCAAACGTTATCCTGGCGTCTACACGGATGTCATGTACGTTAAGCCCTTTATCTTAAAGAGCATTAAGGTACTTCTAAAGCGTTGAATAAAATCTTTGTTCACAATTTAGACATTTTTGAAATAAGTATGCGTTTGATCTCGGTTTAATGGCTTCTCCTCGCTTACATAATCCGTTGAGTATTGGAAGTTGTATTTCTTGCGATAATGCCTTATCCACTGGCTTAAAATTTTAAAAAAGACAAAACAGTGATCTCTTCAACTATATTTGAAAAGTATACGTATATACACCAAAAAATTTTAAAAGTCTTATTACTGATGATCAATGTACATTTATTGCTAGTGCACAGTAAAAATATTAAGATTTGTTCGCAAGGTTTGGATTAGTATTGAACAGTGGGTAGACATAAAGGGATTTCTTGAAGTTCGAAATATCTTTAATATTTGAGGGGTCATCGTTCTCTCCCAAGAACTCAATCTTGATTTTATCGGTCATTGGCTTAGTTATAGCTTGTTCCCTTGCCATATCGGGTTGTTTATCCTCCAATAAGTCTGATGCAGATCCGGATCGAGTGGCTGCTTGAGAATTAGCTTGGGTTGTGGATTCTGAGGACAAAGTATGCTTTCCCACAACTTGGACAGAAAGTTTTCTTAAATTATTCTTATCATAGTCACTCAGGAAATTCAAAACATCCTCCTTGGTTAATTTGTTCAGCGTTTGTATTTGCATTTCCAAACGATTAAAGAAATATTCCTTGGTGACTATTTCACTCCAATTCCGCATGACTTCCTCATCCAAACTTGTGTCTCCCAGTCTTTTTCCACTGATTAGAGTATCTCGAACATTATTAAACTCTGTATCGCTCATCTGTGAGACAAGTTCAGACATTTGCGATCGAAAGGCTTCAATGCGTTGCTCAACATATTCAGCCCTATGTTTCGTCTCTTGGGTATTTATAGTGATTACAAAAGCCATGATACCATACCCAATTCGTTGATGTATGCCCAAGCTGTAGCCCAACTGCTCTTGAGTCCTCAATTGGTTGAAGAACGGCTCCTCTACAATTAACTCTATCAGATCCATTAAACATTCCAATTTAAGATCACTCGGTCCAATTTGATAGTAGTTTGTTATAATTGTGTTCGAGTCATCCTCGTTTAGTGTTTTGGCCCTCAAATAATGCGATCCCAGAGGTATTTGAAGTAGGTTATTGTCCAGTGCCGATAGATTCTCAACTTTTTCGCTGTTGTATGTGAGAAGAATTTTTTGCATTAACTCTCTGGCTTGGTCTTCAGTGAAATTTCCTTGCATTAAACCTTTTATATACATTTTTTTATGAAAATTATCTTTGAAGTTTTTTATGTCATCCAAGCTTATTGCATCAATGGCCTCATATTTCGAAATCATGCTAAAACGTTGGTTTTCCAATACGCTAAGACGCAGGTCAAGATTTAGAGTTCTTCCATTAATTAGAGCATTATATATTTGCCGTTTTTTGAGGTCCTTAAATGAAATCACCTGATCCATATCCAGTTCTATAGTTTGCATCACGTTTAGCATTATTTCCACCAAGAGAGGAAGCTTTTCATTGTAGCCACTCACCCGCATAACCAATCCTTTATCACCGATATAAAGACCGTACGTTAATCCTGCCTCTAAAGCCGGGTACAATTGCTCGGCTATTGTGAATTCCACTAAGTAGGTGTAAAGAACACCAAGCATATAATGCTTAACGCTTTCCCGAACCAGCGGAGTGATAAAATAAAGGTTAATGTATCCGTCGGGAAGTTGAAAAATATTATCCTGTCGAAACCAGAGCTCGCATAAATCATTTCTGATCAGAGCTTTAGGACTTCTCGAGATATGTGGCTTTCCGGCTTCTACCCAATGGAGTGTGAAATCAGTGGTTATGAATGGATTAGGTTGCGGAAATTGCAATTCCTTCAATGTGGATGGTTCTTGCCACATTTTAAGCCACTTTGGTGGCATAGAAATGGATTTGTATTGAGTTCCAAACCATGGTTCTTTCTGATCGTAGTCATTTCCTTCATATGGCATGTATGATGAGATCATTATATTAAAATTAAATTTATCAAGATGCTGTCTTAGAAGTTCTAGGTCAGATTCTTCATATTGAAAGTAAAGCTGAGGTCCTGTAAGGACATCTTTCGATGGCAGGTAATTCAAACCCTCAACAATGCTTTGAACATTATCAATAGAGGGCAGTTCAATTTGAAATCGAAAATTATTATTGGCAATTTGTTGTAACTCTTTATAAGAAACCTGAAGTTGTTCGCTATTAATTACAAGCTTGATCCACGCAAACGTAGCCTCCAATACCTCGTCCAAGTGATCAAAACCATCGTCAGTGAGATATATACACATATTGAACAGGGAGTATATCGAGTTTGAGTCAAAACTACCTCCACCAACTCCTGCCATTACACTAATGCACCAAAGACGTCGACGTAGGTACGAACATAAACTTCCAACTCCCTCAAAACCAAGAAGATGTGATATTAAATAATCCGGTTTGCTGCGATATAAGTTCTTCATTGGTGGCACAACCCATGTTAACTCGACTTTGCAGACATCTTCAACCGGCTGAACTAGGAATACTTCCTTGAAGAACTGTTCCCGAAATGCTGATTGGTAATTAAACTTGGTAAAGTCAACCGAATTCTCTTGGCTCTTTGGTATATCTGCACAATGCCGCATTAGCAATTCCTCCAATTCATCTAAGGGAAGTTGAGCCTGGATTGCTACTATCATTCGATTGGAACCGTAGTGATTTCTGCAAAACTTGTGAAGTTCCTCGTGCAGCTTGCTATTGTCAACGCCCTCTTGAAGGGACTTAAAGTTACCCCAGCTGAAAGTTCCCTGTGGGTACTCATCATTCGCTAAGCTCGCTAAAATCTGATCTCTACGGACTTCGTCCCTCATAAAAGTCTGCTCAAATTCAGACTGTATGGCCGAGCGTTCGCGATTCATGGCATCGGGTAGCATTAGTGGAGCCTTTATCAAATTCATAAAAAGATCCATACTCCTATCAAGGTGGGCTTCATCCACCTCAAAGTAGAAGCATGTCTCCTCATTCTCAGTATGCGCATTACTAAAACCTCCGCTTTTAGTCACAAACGAATCAAATTCATTCTCAACGGGAAATTTCTCAGATCCCATAAATATCATGTGTTCCACAAAATGAGCTAATCCCTGATATTGTCGCGGTTCACTAAACGATCCCACGCCAACTAGAACAGCACAAGCCGCTAATTTACCATGAAAGTGCTCAATTGAAGAGTTCATACTTTCGCTGGAAGCTCGTTGGATTGGCGGATCTTCAACATAAGGATCTGATATAAGCATGGCGCGTAATCCATTTGATAAGCTCAGGGCACGATAAAGTTTTTTGTCCCCATCCGATTTGTCTGGCTCATCGTGATATTGGACCACAACTGCGGCCGTACTTATAGCTGTGTATTGCTGACGATTTAGCCATTTATGCACTTGCTTACTAATTCTGTGTAGGCCAAGGCGTGGCTTGAAACACATCCTCAGATCAATACGAATAATTTAAAAAATATATATTTTACGTACATTATGGTGTTTTATTTTTGACAGTTAGTCCTAAGAGTATAAGTTGATATTGTAAAACATCGTTTAATAAAATAAAATTATTATGAAAGCGGGGTAACGCTAGATGTCCTTATCCTTATGTCAAATATTCTTCAAAACGGTATCCCCCTTTACCATAATTTGTAATGTACTTCTTGGATTTGTAAAATCTCATCTCATTAATAATTAAAATTATTCAAAAGAGTATCAGATCGTTGTGTTAACGCAATGAAAAACCTAAATATATCAATTGGATTCGCTAAACCGATTGTTTTAACGATTGGGTGAGGATTTGGTTATAGATCATATTGGAATATATTCTGTGGTCGCAATGGCACGTATCCTCGCTTGCTGCCTGGTGGTTGGCATACTGATTTTGATGGATGATATCCAGGCTCAGAAAAAAAATCAGACCATTGACTTGGCGAAGTTGGCCAAGATATTACGGCGTCCTTCTTACCAGACCCGTGTTATAGGTGGTCATGTGACGACTATTGATAAGTTGGGCGGTTATCTTGTGGCAATGCGATACTACAACAATTTCATCTGCGGAGGCACTTTAATACGGGATCTCATTGTCCTGACGGCGGCCCACTGTTTTGAGAACCGGAATGTCAAGGAAGGTTGGACTGTGGAGGGTGGCATCTCGAGGCTCACCGATAGTGGAGTTCGCCGTGGGGTTAAGGACATTATAAAGTCCGCTGAATTCCGGATGACTACGATGAACATGGATGTGGCTGTGGTGCTGCTGAGTAGACCCATGGTGGGGAAAAATATCGGTTTTCTAACGTTGTGCTCTACGCCTTTGACTACTGGAAAACATTTGGTCGTTTCCGGCTGGGGAATGACCCATCCGGATAACACCGGTCCGGATCAGCTGTTGCGAACGGTCACGGTTCCTGTGATCGAAAAGAGGTTCTGCCGCAATGTTTATCGGCTTTCAGGTGAGGCAATCCTAGAGATATATATGTAGATATACTACAGACTTGGATAGGAGTACCTAAAGCTTGAATAAACCTTTGGAATTACTAGAATGTTTGGATGCCATCTGTCAACCTTTCAGGCAAAGCCTTAACTTCAAAAACAACTTTAATATATTTGTTCTATTAAAAAGTTAACGAAATTCTATTATCCTTTTTTTTTGTGTAGCTGCTATAACCGACAGCATGTTCTGCGCGTCAGTATTGGGAAAAAAGGATGCCTGTACCTACGATTCCGGAGGTCCTTTGGTTTACGACAGGCAAGTCTGCGGTATCGTGTCGTTTGGAATCGGATGTGCCAGCAGACGATATCCTGGCGTCTATACGGATGTCCATTACGTGAAGCCCTTCATTGAAAAGGGTATTAAAGCGCTTTTAACGCGACGCAGCGGTCGAACCAAAATAAAAGCACCCAAATATTAAATCTTGTTTTTAAATACATAATTTTTTGATGGGTGATAAAATGTTTTCCAATATTGCGCACCTTATTAGATACCTAGTTTCCACTCACCATGAATAAAGCTTTACGAAAATACCAGAAGGTTTTATAATTTATATTTAAATACTGACATTTTCGGGATAGATATTTCTTTCTGTGTGACATGCAATACTGATTTTGTTTTCTTTATTTTCCCTCCACGACTTTCCAATCGCCAGTTATCGGTGTTCAACTTTAAATGGCACAACAGCTTGGGCGTTAATTGTTGTCATTATGTGTAAGTTTCTGGGACTTTCGCGCCCGGACTCGATGGTCCATGGTCCACTGACCATCGAGAGACCATCGACTCCTTGGGGCCATTGCGTGCAGGCGGGAGTCGGCAGCTCCTTGCTGATCATTGACTGATTCCATAATTGATTGGTCCCAGGAAGGCTGGGTCCCAAAAACTGAGGTCTGCGGTCTGAGGGTCTCCTGCTCTTCTGGCCGTGGGGCACAATTTTTTAGAAACGACGTTCAACGACTTGAGTACTTTTACTTTTGCCCCGGCCAAACGCAACGAAATGTAAATTAGCCCGACCGAGTTCGCTAAAAAGCGGGGCTACCAAAAATTTATGTGGCAGGTTTTTTTTTTGAGATCGCATGACTGACGGCCTTTCGTCCGCCGGAGCTGCGTTTTTGAATTAGTTTAATAATACAATTAATTGTTATTTATAGCTTCCTTTGCGCATCGCAAACGCAGCATTTAAGGGCTAAGATCTGTTGGCCAGACGCTATTTTGTGGCACGCAAGGGCCAATTTGGTGGGTAGACAGGTAGAACTGTCTTAACGGTTCTCAGCTGGGCCTAATAATAGAGTTGAGTTGGCCAAGTTATGTGGTTCTTGTGATGTGGGTGAGGGATAGCCGTTGAAGGGGTTGTAGGAGGAGGAGGCGGGCTCCTGGAGTAGCTCCTTCCATCTGCTCCACAGGATATTCCATATTCTCCACCGGACTCTACCCATAGCCAACATAAATATCCACAGAAATGACACTTTCCATCCCTTCCCGCGGCGCTGGTTCGCATTAAGTTTATTTATCTGCTTTTAAATGGCATTTTCACTTGCATATAATTCTTCGCGTTTTCCCTTGTAATGCGCAGTGGAAACAAAGGCAACATAATGTAACAGCCGCCATAACAGCACGAAGATGCCCAGATACTTCAGATGCCCCAGACTCTGTGCACTCCATGACTACCATTTACCACTACTATTTTTAGTAGTGTCATAAATTTATGGCACATTGTGGCAGTGGCAGTGGACTAGGCCTCTCGACTTGGCTCACGTGGAGCAGCCTGGGGCAAAAGGAGCCGAAATCGACATGCAAAACAACATGCTAGCTGGCACCTACTTTGCCCATCCAAAGATTTACCGATGAAGTCGTGAACGGGAATGCAAAACCATACTAAAACCGAATCCGAATCCGAAACCGAACCGAACCTATCCATGCCATTTGCCAATCAAACAAATCAAATAGGTAGAGCGGATTCGGTTACATCGGTTTTATAGATCCCATTTCGGATCTGTTAATTAAAAGATACACACGTACCTTCAATAGAACGGAAAGGCAAACAAATCTTCGGGGCTGGACAAACATACTGGATCAATAGCGGCACTCTGTGAGAGATACAGTATATATTCTGGGTTTTTTACGATGCGCTCACTGTTTCGAGTGTTTGACTGGCTTAAAAGCCAATAAAATTTGTTGTTAATTGTTTTGGTAAATTGAAAATTAGGTTTTGGGAAAAATCATCGCTCAAGTATGCATGGAACGAGTTCAGGTTTGAGAGTTTCGTATCGGGGTCTCCAGTTTTATGTCTGTTTGCCCAGCGCATTAACTCGGTCACTTTTAATGAACTTTGTGAGTGGAACCATCTGCCGCCATACGATCGACCGGTCATCGCCGGTCTTAGCCCTTCCAAACGAGACAAATCGAATCGTTTTGCCGAAACCGAGCTGAACTTTAATCGGCTTAAGTGTAATTTAACTTATTTCTATGACTTTTACCATCATTCCGCCGTTGGGCCGGCAGAAATCGGTTAATTAAAGTTGTACAAAGTTCCAAGCCGATTTCATGCCGCGTTGAATCAACAAATTGTAAACTTTTCCGTACTATCCAACTAACTGTGGGTTTGGGGGGCAGGGCAGGAGCCACGGGGCGGATTGTTCAAAAAGGGGGCCATCATTTGTACTTACTTAAGTGCTTGATCATGCTGATATCATCACCTGGCAACTTTCCTTTGTTCCCTACGTACCCACAATGCAATTAGCGGGGTCTGCAGACGCCAGGTGGTCTCCAGTCTCTCGCATCTCCACTCTCATCGGCCGCAATCTTAAATCGAAAATCACCAAGAATCGGTTAAGAAATAAATACAAGGAATGTAATTTGTATTACATTATGGGTGCAGCGAAGTTTGAGGTGGCAGCGAGTCGAAAACCATGTGCCCTTCCTTGAGTATTCCATATTTCAGTGCCCTTCTATGCGATTCTCAAAATATTTACTTAAGGACACCTCTTCTTATAAACTAGAATCTTTTAATTAGTTTTTAAGATAAAATGTGTGTAGTACTGAAGTCTTATTTCATCTATTTTCATTTATTTTTGTTACATTCAACTCAACTTCCTATCCAAACTGAAATACCTCAACTTAGGGCACCTTAGCCTCAAAAAATCGAACCTCTGTGTTGACAGTTATTGATCGATTGTATCGTAAACACAATGTTGAAATTAATTTTTATTTTGCTCTCTGTTTTCGGGCTTTTCTCCCGATCTGTTGCCTTCAATTGTACGAACTCATTGTGTTGATTTGTAATTGACTTCTATTTTGACTTCAGCGGTTGGTCTAATGAGTTCGCTTAAGCTGCTTCTAATGCAGTGGACTTCCCCTTTTCCATTTCATTTTCCACGTTTTTCCTTCATCTGTTCCCTTTCAAAGTGTCAGACAGAGAGTGGGGGAGCTCAACGTTCCAATAAGTGACACTGACTAATTCGGAACCATTAATCTCGGAGCTGCTTAGCGTCAGTCATGCTGGTCGGGCGGCCATCAATACGCATCAAAATCGAATGCGAATTGTGCATGCTTACACGGATGGTGATGCAAGTACAGCTGAGGTCAAAATACTAGATATGCAGTTAGGAAATTCAGAGATTATTTAGGTTTGTTGAACATATAATGAAATCCGCTACTTCTAACAGGCACCTGATGGTATGTATTATATTTCAGCGAAATATATCGTATGGATCTGGGATCTATCAAAAAATATGGTTCGAAAATTATGGGACCTTTGAGTTCCATAAATAAGTTTATCAATATTTGTACTGCTTATAATCAAACAATTCTGCTTAACTTACAGAAACATGGAGTGGAAAAGTTAAAGTTATAAAAATTAAACACTAGTTCATCTGGTGTAACAGCAAACTATGTTTATACCCGTAATTACCTTTTAAAATATGTAGATCAAAATAGGTCAGTAATTTATGGTTGCAGTTGTAAGTGCTATTATTTTGACTGCAGCTGTGGCCTTACAGCCTCCATGACGAATGTGTGACCGCTGCGTCTCGGTGGGGTGTCGGTCGTTTGGTGTCCCTGATTTGCCTCCATTTCTAAGCCCAGTGTGCTGTACTCGGTACCCGTTCCGATTTTCATAGACGGGTCCAAACCCATTGCCGTTTCCCATTTCCGCGGACATTCGACGCGAATGCGGTTGTGGACGTGGTCGTGGATGTGGATGTGGACGTGAATCTGGACGAGGACGTGGACAAGGCGTGCAATCAAGCCGCGTGTCTGGCAGTCAACTAGTCACTCACTTTGGCCAGAGAGACTGCGTCAGTCCGTCAGTCAAATGCTCGCTTTAATTTAGCTCTTCTCGCGATTTGCAAAAGCACAGGAAGAAATGGAGTTCTGAGATCCAACGGATTATTTAGGAATCTTTCAATGAATTTGAGATATATTTATGGTTTACAATAAATAAATACATATATCATTCATTTTCATTCATAATTGTATCATGATTTTCTGATGTATAGAACCGTTGTTTATATAATCTTAAGACCCATTGTCAATAGTTGAAATGGTATGGTTAAGAAAACATGTCTTTTGGAAATTTTTAGAGAACACACTATTTTTATTTAAAAATATAATGTAAACAAGTATATAGAAATATTTTTCAGTGCATTGCTGCATGAGTTGCTGGAGCTGCATGACTACCGGGCATAATTTCTGCCCGACCCAACGAAATATGGGACCGAAATGAACACATTGCCAGGTTGGCGGCTCTGCGCACGCGCACAGTTGTTGGCCAGGCTTAAAGGCCCCTTCGTGGATCCCCCTTCCCCCCTTTGTGCACTGCAAGTGCTACTCCCACTCCCTTCTGCATCCTCCACTCCAATCTGCGGTTCGTTTTGGCCTGGCGACACTCGTAACCGCAGGGCGACGGCGCAGCCCGTTTTCGATTAACGATGACCATGGATGAGGACGAAGACGAGGACGCGGATGGGGGCAACTTGAGCGTGTGCCAGCCAAGCGAAATGCAGCCGATCAGTTGAGGAGCTAGAGCTAGGCCACACTTAAAATAATAATGATGGGATTGGATCTTAGAGTAAATTCTTATTTTATTATATCATGGATTGAAAACCTGAGGTAATAATTAGAAGAAAAAAAGTACTAGCTCTTTGAAAAATTTTCTAATTTATCTTCTAAAATAATCTTATAATTGTATTGCTTTGATACACTTCATTTTAGATCCCAAAAAGGCTATGAAACTTTGGTAATCCTATCTTTATGACTACCAGATTTTGTAGTTCTTAAGGTTTCTCTCAGTTCCAAAAATAAAACATACTTAAGAAATATTTTCAAAATATATTATCTCTTAACTCTATTAACTCTGGTACTGGTACCAGTATCATTATTATCATTATTACTTATAAGTCTTTTAATATGTAATTTGGACTA